AGGAAAACAAGAGGAAGGAACCAGTGGAGCACAAGAAGGTATGTAGAACTAGATTTAGAAAGAACTTCAACTGTATGGGGCTATTGAGTTGTGGGGGGTGGGTTGGACCCCAATTCCACATTATAGGTTGGGGTGGGGCAGAAATTGAGAGGATTGTCTCCACTCCAACCGACTGGGCCTGTAGAAGCTGATCAGAGCTCGAAGTTGGTGGCATTGGCGGCATGTACTGGGCAATTGGCATGGAGAGGGAAGAGAAATTTTACATGAATTGGGAATATTTGTCATGTAATTATTATTTCACGTGTTATGTTATAGACAGTGTTTAAAAAGATCGATAAGTAAGTTTGTGGAATATCAATGGATATATCGATAACGATATTGATATCAGTTGTCTTTGATAGAAATGATGAAAATTTGCTAAAAAATGTAGAAATTTAAAATGAAATTTTAGGGAATGTCAAACATTAGTTTGGACGAAATATAAGAGTTTCTCCGATATTTTACGAATATATAGAAAATATGGGCAAAATCTGTTGCTTTTAGCCTAAATTTAAGAGTTTCTTCGATATGGAACATCACCTTCCATTTCATATCCTTCTTTGATGTTTTCACAAAAACATTGACCGTAACGAGGAAATTTCAAACATTGGTTACAAATAGCGATAGATTAGAATGTTATGCTTATAAATTACGTTAATAAACAACAAATGCACACGTTATAATCTGAACACAATAATAACACGGTGTAGCGGGGTTTTGGATGCATTGAAAATTCTCTTTTATCTCTCTCGAGGATAGTTAAGACAATCACCATTAAAATGGTACAACAAAGTAGATGATCAAGCACGATATCTTTTGGCAATCTTAGGGATGGGATTGGGAAAGGTGACAAAAACTTGAGAGTTGAGAGAGGACCCAGTTTAACCTAATTTGCTTGCACTTCCAAACAAGGGAGGGCTTCTATTTATGCAGATATGTAGTAAGGCATGCATGTAGAGCTTCTTCCACAATTTGAGAGAGAGAGAGAGAGGGAGGGATGTGGACAAATACCAGAAGACCTAATTTGCAGACCCACCACCGTCCCATGTGCATGTGGAGCTGTTTCCATCAATATAATATTATATATATATATATATATATATATTATATTAGATATTATATTTTACCCTATATGTTCATGAGTCTCCCTCTCTCGCTGAAGCAATCGCAATCGCAATCGCAATCGCAATCGATACCACTTATTTTCACTCGATCATTTTCAGTGCCTTACAGTTTTGACACTACCCCTATGTCTCTATTATTTTTGTCGCAGTTTTGGTTTTGATCAAACCAACAACAACCCTTGATTTGTGCTCCCTAGCTAGAAATGGAGATTTATTTTATTTAAAACGTTATATGATTCATGAAGAATACTAACAACATTTTTATTCGAATTTTTTACTCTTTTTCTTATCCTATAATGTTTCTGGATAATCTTAACGATCTATTTTTTAGGCCATCACCCTTTAGAGATCAAGTATGCCAAGAACCATTGTTTAGTCACTTAACAGCTATCTAAGAAATAAAAAATCTATGTTACTTAGTTAAACACTTGAATTACATCAATGTTAATTAAACGGTTAAGAACGCTTTTTGAATCCTGCCATCCTACAATATTGCAAGATAAGTAGAAAAGACGGGAAGGAAGAATGGTTAGGTACGACTCAGAAGGTTAGTAACATCCCCTCTAATACACATACATGGTAAAGTTAACGATATGGCTAGTTTTGTATGTATAAATAATACTATTGTTCCCCTTTTATTGTTAATCAAAGCTACTAATCAAGATTTCTACTTTTCTATCTTCTTAAGGGCGCACATATACGATAGGAAGCAGAAGAATGTTATTCACGCATTTATTTTTACATTTCACACATCCTTATTAATTTTAGGCCATTAATCATTTTTAATTCATTCGGTCCGACGACTAAAAATTAAAATCAATGAAAAGTAAAAATAAGTGTGTAGATATGAGTACCATAGGAAGAAATGAAGTATGATATCCACACCCATTTTTACTTTTCACACACCCTTTTAATTTTGTATCATTTCATATTCTTCAATTCATTCGATTAATGATCGAAAATTTAAAAAGTGTGTTAAAAATAAAAAGGAATGTGTGAAAGAAGAGAGAGGATTTTTGCTAGATTCTCCAATCACATCTATTTATTGTACATCGTATAATTAGACGGATGTGATGTACAATGAACGAATGTGATTTACGAATTATCATCATCCTCACAAAGAGGATAAGGTGAAAGAAATATCTACTGGTGTGATGTGGTGAAAATTTTGACAATTGCCATTTGCTTGGGAACAACACTGTCATTCAGTCAATTGAGATTGCAGACTTTGATAGAAGGACTGAGACTTTGGGCTCCAAAAACAGTCAAATTGCATTTGATTAGGACCGTACGATATGGGGCCATAAACATTATATCACAAATTTATTACTATATAATATATATGCGTAACATCAACGGCTAGCAATTAAGCATTATTATACATCAAGCATCTAATCAGATGCATGCATTTCAAGGGGTAGGAGGGTTTAGATAGCTACTGTATTAGACTCTGGGTGCAATAATTTTTCGGTCCTTGTATGCGTTGGATCAATTAAAATTTGAATTCAAGGTTAGTTGGTTGATTTCTTTGCCAAAATGACAAGTTTCATGATCATAAATAGGAAAGTAATCATTTGTTTTTAGTTAGTAGGGAAGTTTTGTTACTGAATATAATTAGGTGCACTAATGTGCATCCATCAACCTCAAAATGGAATTTACAATCTTAACACGTCTCTTTATATGCAGAGTTACTTAAGCTTTAACACATGAGCAATATGTATGGGTGACGGGGGAGCGGATGAGATGTTAGGCTCAATTTGTGAGTTAATATGCTCTGATATCATAAAAGAAGTTGAGGGTCCATCATAAAACCAATATACAATATGAAGAATAACTCACCTCTTTATAAGCGCATGCTAGGTCACTTAAGGAGTAGAATTATCTCCCTTCCAAATCCCCTATCCGCCCCTCCTCTCTCACTTTCCTCTTTTTATTTCTGTCTATAAAAAAGTCAACACAAAATATTGAAGTGGCTTAATTGTGACCGTTTAAATAGGAGGAGACTGAAAAAAAGGAGAATATGACGGGAAAAGAATCTTACCCTGTCCCTTAATTTCTCGATAATTCACACTCTAAACAACGCTACCTTTGACTTGTGTGTGATTTGCTCCCCCAAACGGTGGTGAACAACCAAGGATAGCCTTCTTAATTCTATTTTTTAGGAGCTTAATTATGTAGTACTCATTGATCAAGTTTTGTCTAAAATATTTGGCAATATGCCTCATCCAACCTCCTCCTTTTGGCAATACGATGCTTATTTTAACGACGCAACCTTCCCATCCAAGTTTTGATGATAAATTGTTGGCTAGAGAGGAAGTCGTGAAGGTTCCACTCTCGCATGTAGTAATTCATTTTTATTTCTAGTGCTTGGCAGTTGGCGCTAGAAGAATATGTAATAAGAGATGGAGAAATATCATGGAGTCATTGATGCCAATAATTCAGTGCAAAATTACCAAATTCAAATCCAAGATAAAAGATCCCACTAATTGCTTGGGGACATTGGTCCATGTTTTTGTTTTAAAATTTGCAAAATATTTGTAAATTCACCACCTGTGGCTGTAGTATGTTTCAAGGGTTGGATTGTTCGAGCTGGTTCATAATGTCGTGAGATAGTGTGGTCCATATGTAGTGGAGGTGTTAGAGCACAGCGAGGATTTTCCCCTAGTACGAGAGGACCATGAAGGACGCATATTTGGTGTTTATGAGTTGTTACACTAGTGGTTTCTCATCCAACACTTATGCGTTTCCTACATAAGATTGGCTTCAACTAATTCCAGAGGCGAAGCCACATAGGAGTAATACTAGGGAGATTGAGTTTGCAGACAAATTTTTTAAATTAAAGAACATGGAAGTTGATGATTTGATTATTAATTAAACATTGATACCATGTGCATTTTCTATTGGTGACACATCATTTAATTTGTAAATTTTGTGTACAAATTTAATTTTACTCAGCTATATAGTGCTCGAGAGCATGCTCCGGCTCAAATTTTGTTGGCCATGTTGTTTTAATTATCTTGTTGTATTTGCTCTCAGTCTAAAATTTCTTATTTGCATCTCTCTACATGTAACAATAACACTAATTTTCATTATAAAATGAACGAATCACCCTAACTAACCAATAATAATACTCTTCTGTCTCTATTGTACATATAAATTCTAGAAACACGACAAGGACGTTACATATGAATTAAAATCTTGACTTCGCCCCTGAATGTATTTACCCTCTCATTCTAAAATATAAACGGTCTAAAATAATCCAACACAAGAAAAATATAACCTTAGCTTATCATGTTGTTAATTAATCTTAACAATGTAATTATTTAGATTATCACATATATAAGGGTACATCGTAGACCGTACATCAGAAGAGAACTTCCAACACACGAAGCCTCTGAACAGGAGGACAACATCACGTCAGATACATCACACAGTAACCTCCACGTACTTTCCACAACTCACCACTAGCGTTCCGCAACGTGGCGCCCGCTCCACCAGATTCTCTCCTCTCAGCCGATAAAATTAGGGTGGCCGACAGGGCGACAGTCCCGCTCCCCTCTCGCCGTCCACGTGTCGTCAACCAACGGCTCGATCTTATTCCTCTCCCACGGTTTCACAGTATTTTGATATTCGTAAGGCTATTTCGGTCTTTTTCAGCACTCCAAGCATGGGTCAGTGTCGCAGTGTCATTTGCGTGTGTCGTGGGGCGAATTTGGTAATTTCCGATAAAAAAAGAATGAGTTTGGGAAAGATATGTGAGAGGGATATTTGTCGGCGTTCGCAGCTTACAATTTCTTCCACCCTTTCCAACGCTCCGCTCTCTCTCTCTCTCTCTCTCGCTCCTCACTTTCTCTCTCTCTCTCTCGCTCCTCACTTTCTCTCTCTATAATAACAACTCAAAACAGTGTGTGTGAGAAGGAAAAGATTGCACACTCGAAGTACGCAAATGTGAGCGAAGTTTCCCAGAAAATTCAGCAATTCCATCAGCTTTTTTCCCGGAAAACTCAAAAATCGATCAAATTTCTCGGAAAAATTCAGCAGTCTGTCAACTTGGGTAATCGAAATGCAAGACATTCATTCGGTGAGAGGTGGAGGGAGGTTCTTCGGGGGCTCGGGAGGAGGAGACCCGCGGCTGAGACCGCATCAGCACCCGAACCAGCATGCCTTGAAGTGCCCGCGGTGCGATTCTCTCAACACCAAGTTCTGCTACTACAACAACTACAACCTCTCCCAGCCCCGCCACTTCTGCAAGGCCTGCCGCCGCTACTGGACCAAAGGCGGCGTCCTCCGCAACGTCCCCGTCGGAGGCGGATGTCGCAAAACTAAACGCTCCAAGACGAAAAATTCATCTTCGTCATCGCCGATATCATCCCCGCCGCCTCCTCCACCGCAACCGAACAGCGCCGATCAGAACAAATCCAGCTCTCGTTCGAGTAGCGAGAGCTCCAGCCTCACTAACACCACCGCGGCCGCTGCCACTGCCGCCACGGAGGCCGTCTCAGAGCCGTCTTCGACCGGCTCCGCTTCAAACTTACTGAGCAATATTCATAATCCGGAATCCAGTTTCTTCATTTCTCAGGGCGGCGCAAACAGTGGCTTTGAGCCGGGCGCTTCGGCAGCAGCGCTGCTAGATCATAGTACGGAGATTAACGGAATTTTCTCGGAGATCGGGAGCTTCACCAGCTTGATCACGTCTTCCAACGACATGCCGTTTAGTTTCGGAAACATCAACGGCTCGCCGTTTAATCAGCAAGGCAATCATGATCATAATCAAGTTCATCAAAACCAATGGGGGCAGCAGAACCAGGGAGTGAAGATGCAGGAGATCAGCGCTGGATTGCTGGATCAGACGGTGCAGGTGGATCTATCAGTGTTCCAAAACAGATCCCACGGCGGAGGAGGAGGAGGATTTGGATCGTTGGATTGGCAACCGGGATCAGGTGATCAAGGTTTGTTTGATCTTCCTAACACCGTTGATCAAGCATACTGGAGTCATAGTCAATGGACTGATCAAGACCACCCTACTCTCTACCTCCCGTAAAATCTCTCTCTCTAATTAACCATCCATTAAAAAAAAAAAATTAATCTCAAATTTGGTTAATAGAAATTTAAATTTGAGAGGGTCTTTTTATGAAAATTATGAATATATAATGTAAATTTTTTATATAATTATAATTTTTTTTCTTTGGTGGTTTTTTTGAGGTTTTATTTGATGATTTTGGAATGTTTTTTGGGTTTGCTCTTGCCCCTTGAGGTTCATCTGCAACTAACTTGGTGTTAGTGTTTAATTTTAATTTTGTTTTTTTGGGTTTTGTCTCTCATGTATTTCGATTTGAATTAATCAAATATATAGAGAGAAATATTATAATTGCTTACTGTGATCTTTGTGTTTGGGATCGCTTTCTTCCTTAATTTCAGCTTTTTTGATGAAATGTTGTTTTGAATGTACGAGGAAGAAATTCGAACTTAGGTATGACCAGACGCTTCGATCTTGGTTAAGATGGCGTAATCTAATTCGCGTCCTGCGTCGAGGACCTCAGTTAAGTTATTCATATCTGCAGTATTTATCTAGTTACCGACTACCACTGTTCTAAAAATTCTCACTAGCATTGTTTAGGCGTTACGCGGTTAGCCGGCGTTTGAAAACTAAGAAAGGACGGCTGAACCTGCTGAGACGTCCGCTTAGTCCGTCTAACACCCCGTTTAGACCGTCTAGCTTGTGCAGACTTATCTAGTGTTTCAATAATTCATAATATATATGTTATTTTATTTTATGGTTTATATATATTTTAAGTATAAATTGATATTTATTTACATAAAATATAATAAATTTAGTTAAATTCGCGTACTAAGCATTAGGTTCTAACCTGTCACCGCGCTTAGCTTACTGCAAACTCAAGTACGAGAAGATGAACGGTCCAATTTAATCAGCTTGCTTAACTTCAGTCATGCTTCGTTAATTTCAGTTAATTTACTCATATATGCATAGTCTATTTAGTCACTTCCTAATTATAATTAGTAGCTCTTTATTCAAACAGGCACTTAAGGATTTGCTACGTCATCAAGGATTAACAGTGAAATGGCGGTAACTAGGTTGCATTTAGGTTAATTATTTTTTATTCATTATCATTAAATAAGTTTGAATTTTAAAATTTATGAATATCATCGTATAATTTTGAATAAATTTGTCAAAACTGTTAGGACAAAATAATTTTAATGAGATATTTATTTTTATTTTTAATTTTGGCGGGTGTTGATATTAGTGTACGGAGGAGTGGTGCGGGGGGCAGTGCGCGGGCACTGAGGAGAGTCAGTTGGCAAATTGGTTAGGGGAGTGGGGGCCCACTTGGTTCGGGAACTGGAAGTAGTCCCATGCGCGATTATGACTCCACGTGGCGGAGGGGATGGGGAAGAGGGGAGGTTTGGAAGATAGTGGAAGTGGCCACGTGGGCCTGCGCTATGGGCCAGGGACTGAGGAGGGTCGGTTTGTCCTGGCTCTCTTCTGCTCTCTGTTGTAGAGTCGTATTCACGTATAGTCACTGGCAACTGAGTGCTCAATCGGGAAAAATCTTGAATGCAATCGGAGTATATTATCTATCGTGTGACGTGAGTGATACTGAGAGTTACGACAGCACGAAAATGTAAGAGTGTACTCTTATACTCTAGTTATGTATTAAAACCTATCCATATGTAAACTTGATTTGAAAGAAACTTATCATAACTACTAACTAGAACGTCACAACAGTCATATATTTTACGTTTGATCGAGTACTATCACGTGTGAAAGTTACTTATGGTAGCATTACTAGTGTATTGCTATATAGAAATCTAATTGTAGATAAGTTGTTCCCCCCAAAACTACCTAATTACTCTCTTTAACTAAAGGAACAACTCACATGCTCCTCGTGAAACGCTAGGAAGTCAAACCTGGCGTCTTTAGTCAATAATATACTATTATGCGTAAATGTTTTAATATGTGACATTGTATTACTGATCTATTGCACCACGAAGATATTGGTGTTTTTGTTACATAGAGACAATGTTTGAAACTTCTTCGATACAGTCGATATTTCTGTGGAATATTAGAAAAATTAGAGAAAGATTTGAGAAACTAAATTTCACCTCATATATGAGAAACTCTAAATTTTCTGCTAACCGACAAATTTCGTTGATATTTTCGAATCTTTTAAATATCGAAGAAACTCTTATATTTTGTTTAAACTAGTGTTTGACATTCTTTAAAGTTTTATTTCAAATCTCAACGTTTTTTTTAGCAAATTATCATCATGTTCATTGAAGACAACCAATTCAATATCTATATAATATATCGATATTTTTACAAATTTACACCTCAATATTCTACTAATACTGATATTTTAAACAAAGCTACTTCTCATCAACAAGAAGAGATTCTCTCCGGATCTCTTCCACCAAGGCCACCAGATCAAGTGATCCGGACCTTTGAAATTTCATCCAACGGTCCACCTGTTTTGATTTCTTAAAAATTATAATAATCTTTGAACGTTGGATGAAATTTCGAAAATCTGGATTATTTGATCCGATGACTTTGATCTCTTCTCCTCGTCAACTCTACTTCAACTAACGGATGTGGATTAGCAGGACATACGAACATGTGAATGTTGGAGTGAGCTGTGGAAGATGGTGGAGATGATGACGTGGATACTATGTGGTGATGGACCCATAGTAGGTTAGTTAGGTGGGTTGGTGGGGACTGGTAAGAACGGGTACTACTGAGTGGGAAGGGAGTGGGGTCCAGATGGGCAAGTTCAGAACCGGAAGTGGCCTCTGACTCAGTGACTGACTGACTAGAGCTCTTCTCTCCATGAGTCACGCATTCGGTGTCCGTGTGCCTCATCAGGTTCCTCACAACTTGCAATATACATGCATAAACTATGGACTTCAAATTTTTATGTTTTGATTAGGCTAACCATGCCAATGATATTGATATAAGGGGAAGGTTATGGATGATTTAGGACTCAAGGAATATAATACTTATGTATTCTTGTAAACGAGTGGCAGAGTCAGAATTATATGTGAAGGTACGTTGAGTTTTGAAGTGAGAAGATTTTTGTTTAAAGTTTGATCTTATATCGGATAATTAAAAGATTTTTGCATATATTTATAAACATTTGAGTTACTCATTCAAGCGAGAAATCTTAACTTTCTTCATAGCACAAATAGGTTAAATCACATTTTGAGGCCAACCAACTCCCGTGCTCCCACCTCACGAGCTGTGATGTGATGTGAAAATGCGTGTTAAGAGTGTTAATTCCACTTCATGTTTGGATAATATCATGGTTTGGTGACTCTGCTCTTGTTATCATCAATTATTGGTCATGTTTCAGTTTCCACATCTCCTTAGTGGTTGCACATTCAAATCCTTGACCTTTTCATCGCATCACAATTTCTACATCTTCTTAATAGCAACTCAAAATTAAACTAAACAATCAATGGTATGCTGAAACTTTGCACTTTGGAAGGAAATTAAAACTCTAGTATAAGGAGCAGACACGTTGCTTTGATCATGATTGACTGTCCTAATTCAATCTGCAACGTCCTCGATAAGATATCAATCGACATTGTTTGCGACGCATGTGCAAGCTGCACTGGTCCAAGCAAGCAATGGTCGATGAGCGGGGCACAACAGTACGCTACCATAACTGTAGCCCAGATGATCATGATGTGACCTTTTTGCCCTTTCTTCTTGCCCAAGAGCTGCCATTAATGACGAATAAATAGGCCATGGACCCTGTTGCGGCCAAGCAACAATGTGGCATGGATTGTGACTTCACATTGCAAGTAATTAAAACTTAGAAGAACCTCACACAGTTGGGCAGATAGGCTGTCGTCGGCTTTTCGTTTTCGTGACGTTTATCGATTGACATTCACAGTTTGGGATGTTTGCTATAGGGATGTCTACTTTCAACCAAACATTTGAGCCTTCTGAAAATGGAGCTTGGCTATATAAGAATTTTAAGGTCATCAACTTGAGGAGGAAGTTGGGGGCAAAATTTATGGTTTTGACCCACTGCGGTAAGTATTGCATTTACTTAAAACGGGTTTGTAGCTCGTGTTGTTCCGACTGCTTATCTTTTGCACCTGAAGTTTTGTGTTTGAATTTTCTTCTATTAATATTGCTTGTATCATGTATGGATTAATTTTATTCAGTTATTAATTTCCAACTTCTAAGCTTCTTTTAGTATTGATCTAGCTATGTTAATAAATCAGTTTGGTGACGGTTTTGAAAGTGGGACTATATATATCCCACTCTGATGTGTATTACCAATCAACTTATGTTATAACACATTACGTAGGTTCATGACATATCAACCATGAATTAGTAACACTACGTATATTGTGACCATCACAAGCACTTAAAAGCTTTTCATAAGTCCAAAGATTTACAGAAGCATGCTCATCAATAATCTTAGGTTTCATTTGATGTCTATGACTAAATTAAAATGAATGATTTTTCATTTTAAGGGAATGGGACATGAAAAAAATTTATCCGTCGTAAACTTACCATTTTGTGGGGGACTTTCATGGATAACTTTAATTAACGAGTAATCCATTCTCTATCTTCAAGTTGGATGCAATTTTTCACTCTCCTTCAACATACCGTCAATATAGTGATTGATTTATTCACTCAAATCCAATCCTAGATACCGAACGAGGCCATAAAATTCACTTCATGTAAACAATAGGACATGAAATTAATAAAACTGCATTCAGCAAACCTTGATGTATGCAGAAATCCAAACATTTTCAAATGGACTTATATTATGATGTTATTGTTTACATCAGAGTATGTGTGTATGATCTATAAGGCAAGGCTGCACAAGGCTTAACATCCCGGACGAAAAATTAAAGCAAAGAAAATTAAGTGTGTGTGTGTGTGTGTGTGTGACATTCAGAATTTGCAGCAGAGAAATCGCATCCCCCAGTGCCGGTGTCGGTGCCGGTGTAATTGTCGATGGTCAGCGCTCCCCATTCTCGCCGGGCTGCCATTCCATTCCGAGGATAATCTGCTCGTCATGTCAAAATTCAAATAGAAAAACTACATGAGATTATCCACATATTACAATAACTGAGAAAATATTTAAGAGCAAGCAGTAAAAATTAGGGTTAGTGAAGTTAAGAGAATTTACATGGGAAAAGAGAAAGACCGAGAGCTCGTTGTGCTGCTGCTCGACCGAAAAGAGATGCTGCCCGACCGAAAAGAGACGCTTCCAAAACCCGGTATTCCTCCCGAGTACGAAATCGAGCCCGAAGGAAGTTCGTATGCAGAGGAACTGGATTCTCCGCTGCAATGCTGGTGCCGTTGACTCGATTCTGCTAGGCCATGTGACATCCC